CCCCCAGCCCAGCCATTTCTGAGCTCCTTACAAAGCCCTCAGGTGACACATTGCAACACATTGTTTGGCCTCAGGAGAAGGGGATTGAAACATTCCCATTTACAGGAGAGGCCAAACAATCTGCCCCAGGGCTCACGGCCAGTGAGAAGCAGAGCTCTGATTCGGAGGCAGGCTGCCTGGCCCAGAGCCCCCTCCTCTTGCAAGGACCCCTTTGACCACCACCCTGGATGGACCGGGCTCCCAGCTGTGAGGAGCTCAGCGCTGTGCAGGGAGCTCAGCCCAGTGTTACTCCATGAGAAAAACACACTTTAATCCTGCCTTTTCATACACACTGACATACGTGTGTTCTACAACCAAAGTTTCTAAGTGCGAGCCCTCTTGTGGCTTCCATTTTTATTCTATTTCATTGCTTAAGCGACCGATAGCAGCCCATTAATGGATTTCAGGAGTCACCAATGAGTTGAGTTTGAAAGACACAGGTATGGGGAGGATGTACCCAGTCTATTTCCCTGGGGTCGGGAGATGACTGCCAGAGAGGAGACAGCCCTGTCCAAAGTATGTGACATCAGCCATGTTAACTGGGAAGCATAAGTCACGTTATTTTATTATGAAAGCATAAAGAAAACAAAAACATAGCAAGAAAAAAAACCCAGTTATTCAGCCAGAAACGAAGACCTAGTCATCCAGGCAACTCCCAGCCCCAGTGTCTTAGCAATGCTTTGGCCGGGTGGGGGGAAAAGATGGGGCGAACAGAAGTAAGGACACCCCTCTCGCCCACGGAGAGAGCAACCCTACCCAGCCACCGTCTAACCAGTGCCTCTCACCCCTGGCTGCACTTTGGAACCACCTGCAAGCTTTTAAAATACCCAAGGCCTGGGTCCCAGGCCCCAAGATGATGATTCAGTTGGTCTGGGGGTGGCCTGGGTGTTGGGATTGCCCATGTGCAGCCAAAGTGGAGTACCAGCACTGTAAATAAACCTGAAGCCTCCAGATGCCTCAGGAGAAATATGCAAAGGGCTACTGCGACCTCTAAGCCCGCTGGCTCCCAGGTTCCCCAGATGCGGCTGGTGACACACGATCATCTGAGAGGGGGAAGAGGTCAGCTAACGGCTAAGAACCCAGCTCGGCCTCATGACCCAGCGAGCAGGCTGTCTTTGCTGTAGCCTGGCCCCGGCTCAGTGAGCTGCGTTTGATCCTCACAACCCGAGAGGGAGTATCATTGTTCCCATTTCACAGAAGAGGAACTCTGAGGCAGAGGGCAGTGGGAAGGGCTCTCTGCAGAGCTGGCTGTGGGTAAGACAGGTCTGAAAAACTCTGCCAGTTTCTCCTACAACACCATCATTTGCCCCTCAAACACCAGGGCAGCCGGATAATTCAAAAGCTCCTAAAAGCAATTCTATTAAAACAACTTTTTAAAAACACAATTAACTCCACAAGGGTAAATTACTAAAAGGAACTGGTCCTTCGAATCAATAGAGGCTCAGTTGCTACAGGTGGTCCTGACCCAATATTCCCCAGTGCTTGCCAGCAACTTGTACTGGCCTCCGCGTCACGACAAAAAGGTTCCTGTGGCCCCCCCAACAATTGTCAGTGCCCTCCCCCCAAAGTGTGTCCTCTGTTCTGCATCCCAATTCTGTGCTTCTGCTGTTTCTGTGCCTTTAACCCCTCCCCCCACCCCACCAGTTCCCTGGCTCCATTCAGACCCAAACGCAGCACAACCACCCACCCCCACCCCCGTCTCCAGCTTTACCTGCTGTCATTCACCCTAATGAGCAGACCTTTACCCTCGATCTATTTCTTTTAGCATTGCGAAAACCGAGCAAAAGAAAAGAAATTCACGATAATCCCAACACACCAGACTTCTCCTCCGCCTGAGGTCTCTTTCTCTCTAATCAAAGACGGCAGACAATTTTGTATCTTATTTTTCCCACTAGTTACGTGCATCAAATCTATGCCTTCTTCATGGCCAAGAAACTTCACCAAGAAGTTAATGCTCTCACTATTGCATCTACTGATTGATTACTCCTCATTTTTAGCACCTTTTACCACCAATTCGAAGACCACATTTTCCCAGAGCTTAACATTCCTGAAATCTGAATGTCTCACGAATGACCGGTTTCAGCGTTCGGTCACATTACATCACAGTAAACGGCAGCATTATTTTCTCCGTGGGACAAAATAATGGCACATCTACTATGAGTGGCGACTGATGGGCTACGAAATATGGTGCTCGCAATTCGTTTCCTTCTGACGGGTTATTTCCTTTTCAGTGAGATGACCAGGTTTGATTATGAACATTTTCATGGTTCTGGACACACACTGTTGAATTTTTGTCCAGAACAACTGTATGGGTTGATCCAGCCGCTCACTAGGTATGAGCTGGCTTCACCACGGAATAACCAGCATTGAACAGTTTGGCTTTTTTTCCCTTTTCATAGGGAACTACAAATGAAGGAAAGTAGGAATTGTTTCCATTTGCCTTTGATTAATAACAATCGCTAAACTCCTGGAGTTGCTCCCTCTCGGGTGGCAGGCCCTGTGCGTCCAATACCTTACCAGGAAGGGTCACAAGTCCATGGTGAGGACTGTCGACCCCACTCATGGCCGCGGACACAGAGGCTCAGGGAGGTTCGGAAACTGGTCTGAGGTCACACAGCCCACAAGGGGCGGAGGCAGGATTTGAATGCTGGCCCTGAGCTGCTTTCACCGTGGCTCACGGCTCAGCCCCCGGAGCAGGTGGTGGGCTAGCATCTCCCAGATTGGCAGGAAGTCCCGCTCCAGCACTAGGCTTCTCCCGGATGAAAGTGCAGGCTCCTCAGCTGGCCACGGCGGGGCGGGGCGGGGCGGGGGGGTCCTCCTCCATCACCGCCCCCACCCCCCCCCCCTCTGCTCTATGGAGCTCTACATAAGCCTGCTTCCTGGCCTTTGTCCATGCTGTTCCCGCCTCTAGAAATGCCCTTTCCTTGGACCCCATGAGTTCAAATCCCAAGGCCCAGCTCAAAGGCTGCCTCTTCTGCAGAACCTTCCATGACCCTCCAAAGGAAAGGAGACTTCCTCCTCTGAACATCAGTCCCACATTCTACATACACCCCACTGCCGCCCCAGATTCTGGGCACTTCTCACAAATCCCTCCCCACCCCCACCAGTGCCAGTGCCAAGCCCCTGCTGCCTCCCCTCCTCGCTGGCCCTCCATGTCCTTGCTGGTATTTCTACCCACTTCCACAGGATACCAGAGAAACTTTTCCAAGTTCAGGCCTGATCGGTCGCTGCCCTGCCTGCCCACTGTTCTTAGCACCACCCCCAGAACCTTCCGTGTCCCCTGGGCTCTGCCTGGCCTTGTCTCTCCAGACTTAGCACCTCCTGGCCCCCCATCACGTTGCTCCACCCTGGCCTCCTTCAGGCCTCGCTTCCACCTGCTTTCTGGCCTCTGCATAGGCCGCTTCCTCTGCCAAGACACCCTCTCCGTCTTCCCCCGTACCTGGTTCCCTGCTCCGGCCCTCCAGGTGTTGGGTCTGGAGGCCCTTCTGATCTCAATGGCCCCAGTGAGGGGCCCACATGAACCACGGCCTCTCCTTTACGGCTCTGCCCATGTGCACCTTCACACATTCCGTTTTGGGACTTGACAGGGGTCTGTCGCTCGGCCAGAGGAAGCCACAGGCAGGCAGGGACCCGTGCTTTCCTGCTACAGCCTGACAGCTGTGGTCCGTGCCAGGACACAACTGGTGCTGATAAACATTTGTTAGGTGCACGAATGACCGAGGGAAGGAATCCTCCCCACGAGCCCTTGTTGACCCTGTGATCCCCATTCCCTGCTCCCTCCCTGCCAGGGGTGAGCTCTTCCCCCTGGAGATCTACCCTGTCTTTGGGAAAGACTGTGTTTGAGAAGCATACAATCAGTAGTGAGTAATTAGGGCATGGAAGCCAGGCAGCATGGGTCCAAACCTCTCACCAGCTGTGTGGCCTTGGGCAAATTGCTAAACCTTGCTGTGCTTCAATTTCCCAAGCTGTAAGAGGGGGAAAGAAATAATAGTACTTTTAATGCACAGGGTTGTTGTGAGGACTAAAAAACCAAATACACAGAAAGCCCTGAGCACATGCCTGGCGCAGAGTGAGCGCTTAATAGATGTTGTTCATGTTATTATTGGTACTGCTCAGCCACCATATTTTATTTAATTTAAAGATGAACATTCTCCCCAGATGCAACATTTCTGAAGTCAGAACTGGTAGCATCTAGAATGGACCATTTCCCCCCCGCCACACTGTAAACAAAAAAAAAAGCCCTAAAATCCAAGTGACTCTTACAAAGAAAGGGGGCATCATTATCATCCCATGACCCTGCTTCTTGGACCTGCCCTGATCACCCTGCTGCTACCCTGAGCCTCCGGCTCTACCTGCCAGGCCCCCGGAACCTCCCAGGGAACAGCAGAAACGGAAGCCAGCATTTCCTTTCCACCTTGTCCTCACCCTTCGCAACAGATGTCCCCCCAAGCCCAACAAACCTGCACCGCAGATATCAAGGACGGAGTTTAATAGTTGCTTGGGATGATCACATGATACAAAAGGCAAAGCATTTGCTCTGGAGTCAGGCCGGGGTGAGATCCTATTTCTGCCACTTTCTACCTGTGTGATCTTGAGCAAGTGTCTTTATCTGTAAAATGGGCAGCAGGGAAAAGCCACTTAGGGACTATCAGCCTAGCAGTTTGAGATCACGGTCTCCTCAACTCTTCCTGACAAGGCTTCAGGAACAAGGATAATTTTCTCTCCCTTTTCCAGATAAGGAGACGGAGGTCTCAGCGAGGTGAAGGTCAGGGCCTCGTGACACATGGTTATTAAAATGCAGAGGTGGGATTTGAAGGATCTGATTCAGATTATTAGGCTATCTTGAGGTCTGTGAATTCCTGCTATAGTTTTCACCTTTGTGACTAAACGCTTCGGTGTGGCAGAAACAGCCCAAACAGGTGTTTTCCCTTTATCCTGTTTGAAACACCAAACAGAATTGTCTTCAAGCCTGGGGAGGTCCTTTAACGCTGCTGGTCCACCAGAATTAATTTACCTTTTCATCCCAGGTGGCCATTTTCCTGTCCTCTCTGGATCTGAAAAATAAGAAAACATTTGTCTAAATCTGACGTCCTGCTATCATTTATCTTAGTATGTGCTTTGCAACACTTTGTTACCAATTATTTTTAACTTGCTTATGTTAACAGTGTCTGAAAATAGCATAAAGCTCAAAGTGTATGCAGAAGGATGCACACCCTTGGTATATATCCAAAAGAATTGGAAACAGGCCCTCAAATACATATACACAAATACTCATAGTCAAAAGGTGGAAATAGCCCAAGTGTCCATTAGGGGATGAATGGATAAATAAAAGCTGTTCTATCCATACAATGGGAATGTCATCCAGCCATAAAAAGAAACGAAGTCCTGATCCGTGCTAGAGCATGAATGAACCCCTAAAACATGACACTAAATCAAAGAAGCCACATGAAAACTTCACATATTACGTGATTCCACTTATATGTAATACCCAGAATATGCAAATCCACAGAGACAGAAAGCGATTGGTGGTTGCCAGGGTCTGGGAGTTGAGGGGTAGGGAGTGACTGCTTAATGGACGCAGGGCTTCCTTTTGGTTTGATGTAAATGTTCTGGATAGAAGTGGTGGTTACGTGACATCGGGAATGCACTAAATGCCACATTCACTAAATGTTCACAGAGTTGTAAAATGGTTAATTTCATGTTATGTGAATTTCACTCCAGTTTAAACTTAAAAAAAAAAAAAGACACATAGACATACATTACAGTATCGGGAATGCTCTGGAAAGCAGCAAAGTATCTATATGTCCACCAATGAGGGTCTGGTTAAGTCAGTTTAGGTATATCTGAGCAGTGAGAAACTCTAGTGTTGTTAAATCTTCTTCGTATGTGGATGAGGAAGGAGGTGAACGATATAGTAAAACAAAGAAAAATTCACACTGCAGCATAATATACACAGTATGACCTCCATCTACGTGAAAAATTACATATGCACTTTTATTTTTTTTAAAGATTTTTTTTTTAAATTTATTTGACAGAGAGAGAGACAGCGAGAGGAGGAACACAAGCAGGGGGAGCGGGAGAGGGAGAAGCAGGCTTCCCGCGGAGTAGGGAGCCGGATGTGGGGCTCGATCCCAGGACCCTGGGATCATGACCTGAGCCGAAGGCAGACGTTTAACGACTGAGCCACCCAGGTGCCCCTACATATGCATTTTTAAAAATAAGTCTGTAAGGATATAGCCAAACTCTTTACAGTGATTATTGCTGGACAAAAAGGGAGTGATCTGGGGGACTGATTTTTGTAGGTATTTTCCTTCACTTCTGGAAGGTCTGACCTTTTACAATGAGTGTTACTTCTTAAAATTTATTTTTAATGTAGGTGACATAGGCATGTACTAAAAAACTGAAACAATTCAAAAAGATATACTATGACTAGTAAGCCTCCTTTCTACCCATTCTTCCCAGAAGCAGCCACTCTTAGCAGTTTCCTATTTGGCCTTCAGGGGTATCCTATGCCTTCGCAAGCACATCCATATTTACTCCTTTTCTCTCGTTTAAACTTCAACAAATGTGAGTCCACGCACTCTGCTCTGAACCTTGCTTACTTCCCTTTAGGGTGTGGTGAGCTCCATAATGACCCCCCCTCCTTCTAAAGGTGCACCTGTCCTAATCCCAGAACCCGTGAATATGTCACTTTACATGGCAAAAGGGACTTTGCAGATGAGATTCAATGAAGGATCCCAAGATGGGGATTATCTAGGTGGGCCCAATGTAATCAGAAGGGTCTTTATGAGTAGAGCAGGAGAATCAGAGACAGAAGGATATGTGAGTACAGAAGCGGAAGTTGGAGGGAAGGGATTACAATCCAAGGAACGTGGACAGCCTCTAAAAGTTGGAAAGGAAACAGGTTCTCCCCTAGAGCCTCCAAAAGGAATGCAGCCCTGCCAACACCTCGATGTTGGCCCACGGAGATGGATTTTGGATGTCTGATCCCCAGCACTGTAAGGTAACAAATTTATGTTGATTTAAGCCATCCAATTTGTGGTAATTTGTTATAGCGGCCATCAGAGACTAATACAGTATTTCCAATTGTTCTGGATCAGTACGTGCTAGATCAGGTGCACTCCTTGGAATGACTCCACAAGGTTTCCCTGTAGGAATGTGTGTAGTCTCGCTAGTGATCAGAATTTAGATTATTTCCCAAACTTTTGCTGCCCCAATGTTCCAATGAGTAACCCTACACACTGTGTGCTTTTATAATTTAAGAAAAAATTATCATTTTGAGAAAATTATTCACAAAGACTTAAAAAAAAAGTTCTTTCTCTCCTCAGTACCATGCTGTGGGCACAAGGGACTCTCAAAGGGTTTCTTGCTGGTTGACTGGCAGAACAGCTTCTGCAACCAGCAGAGTTCAGCTCAGTGTGTTCCTGTTCTAGCCCCTGGGGGCCCTCACCCTGCTCTCATGAGACAGTCTCAAGTGGAACCTTTAGCACAAGCAAAGGTGAAGGGAACAATTAAGGTGCCCTGGAGATTTCCTTCCACAAGACAGGAAATAGAACGAGCACATTTATAGAAAAACACCCAGCTTCACTAATTCAAGCAACAGAAAATTTAAAGATACATACATGACCTTTCCATTAAACTAGACAAAAGTGTTAAAACTCAGTGCTTGTGAGGCTGTAGGGAAACTTGCACATACCGCCAGGCATTGTTTTTCTTCAACAGCCTTCGGGTGCTAGGTGGCAAGTGCCTTCAAAATAATCATACTCTTGACTTGAACACATCAGTTTGGGAACTATTATCTCAAATCATTTCGTAGCAAATTACAGGTACAATGTGGACAAGCTAATTTGGATATGATGGCTAGAACCTGGAAAGACCCCATAAGCCCCACTTCAGAGAACAGCTGCGGAAGGCAGTGGGCTGTTAGAAGGAATGACAATTCTGAGGTCTATGTGTGTGTGTGTATATATATATATATCTTTTCTATACAGAAAGAAGGCTGTTAAGCAATGACAAGTAGAACCCTGATGGTTGTGCACACCACTGGCAACTGTAAAACATAATTGGAACATTTACTACGTGCCAGGCACTGTGCTGGGTTCTGGGGGAACCCGAAGTAACGAAGAAAAAGGTCAGAACCCTGCTAGATGGATACTTTAGCTGGGTAGACAAACAAGGAACGTAAGTAAGGTAACATCCCCTGAGCCTAAGCATGGGAAGAAAGAGAAAGAGTAATGCAGTAAGACAGCAGGCGAGTGTGGGTCCTGTGGGTGTAGTGGTCAGGGAAGACTCCAGAAGGCAACTTGGACAGTGGTCCCTGAATTGCAAAGAGGTAAATCACAAGAAGATGGCCAAGAAGAGCATTCTCTGGAGAAGGAAGACCACGTACACAGGCCCTAGGAGGGCAACTCCCCTCCACCAAACCTCAGCAAGTCCAAGGAAGAAAGAGGAGGTCAGTGTGTCTACAGGGAACATGCAGTGGGAGAATGGTGGCAGGAGACAAGAGTCTGATCTCACAGAGGGCTTGGGAGGCAATGCTGAAGATCTGGGGGTCAAGGGTGGTGGCAGGGAGGCCAAGAGGAGGCAAAAGATGGTGGCGATGCAGAGGAATGGCCAGATTCAGAACATGCAGAGGAGTAGAAGCTGCTGTGGGCTTAGATGTGGGGGATGAGAGGAGGAGCAGGTTTTGGGGCTGTAAGAGTGTGGGCTTCCTCCTTCTTGCTTAAACCAGTGATCACGGAGGGCTTGGGGACTGCAGAGTGGTTCTGGAATTGTGCAAGCCTCAGCCCAAAGATTTTCAAAGCGCTGCTCCTACTAGTCTTTCCCCCAGGGACTCAAGAGTGTGAGAAGTTGCTGCTGCTACGCTTGGTCTTACTCAAGAAGCTTCCAGCTGCTGGTGGGGCTGTCCGGAAATACTGCAGATCTCAGATAGCCCTGACTGACCTGAGGTTAAAGGTGTCTGGGACAGAGGAGTGCTTTCAGAGGGGCTGGAAGGAGCTGGGGTGTGGGTGGGGCAGAGCTCCGTAGTAACCTTGAGCCAGGAGCTGGGCTAAGCCTTTATACCAAGCATCTCACTTCATCTCAGCAATGCTGTGAGGTAAGTACCATGCTTAACCCCATGGGACAGTTAAGGGAATGGAGGTATGGAGAGGTGAAGTCCTATGGCTAAGCCTGCAAAAGCCCCTGCACCCAGCAGAGGTGCTGCCTAGAGATCTGGAAGTTCCCACGCGCCGGCTGTACCTCTGTGTCCTGGAGTTGCACCTGTCCCCAACCCACCATTCTCATTCCTCAGCACACCTTGCCCCAAGATACGCTTATTTTTTTATTTTTATTTTTTTTTAAGATTTTATTTATCCATTTGACAGAGAGAGACACAGCAAGAGAGGGAACACAAGCAGGGGGAGTGGGAGAGGGAGAAGCAGGCTTCCCGC